GTGTTGGGTCAAAATGCACTTTGCAATTAGAATAACTACTATTTTTTGCTGGGTTCCTGTTGTGTGGAGTATTGTTTTCTATTCTTTGACTTTTAGTCTATGAAATTGTTTTTGGGTTAAATGTGTTTCTTGTATGCAATATATTGTTGGATCTTATTTCTTGATCCATTCTGCGAATCTTTTTCTTTTGATTGGTGAATTGAGACCATGTGCTTGCCAGGCAGGTGCTTATGCCACTGAGCTATATCCCCAGCCTCCCTAAATAATTTTTTAAAGGAAAATTGGATTAATCAAAATGGAACTTAGCATCTCTACACTTAATTTGAAAATAAGTTTTATATGCTACAAGGAGATGAAAGTGTAAGTGAACACAGTGAAAGTATCCATTGTTCCCATTGTTAAATCAGATCTGGATATAGTTACCTGCCAAGTATTTCACATAATCTTCTCTTTTTGTGAAGTGAGAAAAGGTTTATCGGTTATAGGCTATGTTGCTACAGTGATGTTGCATAACAAACAGCTGTCCACCTGCAGGAACTTATAACACTAATGCACATGTATTTCTTTCTCGTAGACCTGCAGGATTTACCTCTGTTCCATGAAGCTTTCACTCTAAGACCAGTTGTCTTCCAGGCATATCCTGACACACAGCCTGACAGACATGTCACAGATCAAGTTCGTGAAGATGGGCATATTAATTATGTTCACATCATGCCCACTAACATTTCTTTAACATTCCAGTTACGTGATCAAGGTCATCCTCAAGGAACAGAAAGTTGTAATCTCCCCTTGGAGATGAAGGAGAGGATTTAGAACATAAATATTGAGTAATAAGTATACTTTCACAGGAAGACACAAGAAACACAAACTAAAACTGATTTGACTGAAGAATCAACTTGATTGAAGACGAGGAAGAACATAGAGCTAGGCCAATCATGATTCATGGCCCAGTGGCGGGCTCAATGCTCCTCCTCGTAGAGCCAAGAACCCAGGGGTGGGCAAGGTGGACAAGGGCACAGGCAGCCAGGCAGGAGAAGGGTTTTACTTTCCTACCCCACTGATGTTTATCCATAGCAGACTGTGTTAGCTACACCATTTCTAATTCTTTTTCTGATAAACCAACAGCTATCCATTTTCTCCTTGAGGCATTTAACTGAACTTTTTGAGTAGGTGGTGGGTAGGGGTAGGTGGGGGAGAAATAGCCTTGAATGTTGAGCTACTAAATGCCATGGGATATTTGCAGTTCTTACGCATGGCTGTTCTTGCCAGCATTAATTAATTAGCCTTGAATTTCCCTCTACTGTCTTCCTGATATTGCATCTGCATTTTTCTGACTCCTCTTTCTCCACAAGATTATTGTTCTTCAAAGATTTGTTTGCCCACTAGTTTCTTTCATTCCACATGTACTTCTTTGTATACCTCAGGCATTCTCTGTGTGGATAACTTCTTAACTACATTTATTTATTTATTTTTAGATAAAGTCTTACTATGTAAGCAGGCCTTGAACTTCTGGCAATGCTAGAAGCCTAGGGTGGCCTTGAAGTTCTGGCAATGCTTCTGCCTCAGCCTCCTAAGTGCTGGAGCTACAGAGGTTTACCACCATGCTTGACTCCCTAATTACATTTATAAACTTGACTTCTCTCTGATTCCAAATTCAAGTATCCAACTTATTATTAAACATATGCTAATCCTGATTTTACATAGATAATCTAAATGAACACAACTACAGTCAAACTCAGTCAAATTTTAGAGGTTGTTCCAACCTCTAAAGCTACTCTTCCCTGAGTGAGTGGTAGCTATAATCCTGAGTTATCAGAGTAAAATCCTGGCTGTCATTCTTCAGGCCTGTCTGGCCTCTTTGCTTTAACCCTGCACTTCTATTTATTCATTAAATTCTAAGAAGAAAAGATATTTTAAAGAGCAATTCTCACCACCAAGTGATCAAAGTGATAGTTCAAATATACACTGCCTACTCGGCTTTTTGCTCTCTTTAAGGTACTTTAACGATGTTTCACTTTAGAAGTCCAAACTGCTTATCATGTGATACAATGGCTGTCAGTTCTGTTATTCTACAGGTTAAATCCAATGATGAAATAATATAATGATATGACAAGGTGCTAGTGTATGAGTTCTTCTTTTATATACAGTAGATAATAGCAACAAGTCTGGGAATGGGATGCTATCATTTGTATGTTGAATTTCTGCTAATAGCACATGAGTTAAAGGCTTGATTCCTAAGGAGGTAGTACTAAAAGTTGCTGGAAACTTTAAGAGATGTGGTAGATTGGGAGACCTTTATGTCATCAAACATATAATCTTGGAAGGGATGGTTGGATCCTGATCCCATTCTTCAGGACCATTCTTTATGCTCTTTTTGCTCTCTGTCTTGTGAGGTGTTTTGCTTTGATTTTTTTGCTCAGATTTGCTGTGATACTCCTACCATAAAGTGCTGCCTTACTATAGGCCCAAAGCAAAAGGGCCAACCATTTGGGGATAAAATCTCCAACACTGTCATTCAAAACAAGTCTTTTCTGTTTATAAGCTCCCTATCTAGGCATTTCACTATAGTAATGGAAACCTAACAAATACAGACAATTGGTACTGAGAAATGAAGTCATTGATATAACTATATACCTGAAAAAAAGGAGGAGCTGTTGAAATTGGTTTATGTAAGAAGTTTGATAAAGTTTGGAGGAACAGGCTAGAAAAAGCCTAATTCTGAAGAGAGCTTAATAGTTAATTTTGATGGAGGCTTAAAAGATCAAAATACTGAGAGAAACCTAGGTAAGTAAAGGTGATGTTGATGAAGTTTCAGATGGAAATGAGGACTCTATTGAGACTTAGATGAGAAGCCATCTGTTCTACTCCATACCAAACTATTTGGATGCATTGTATCTACCCCTGAGAAATGCTAAGCAGCAGAGTTTAAAGGTGATGGGCTGGTGGAGGAAATGTTAAGGCAGCCAGTTAGTCTGTGGTATGGATATTAGTGCTGCTTTTAACCAAATTTGCAGTAAGAATCAGAAACATAAAGGAGCAAAGTGGGAAGATTCGAAAAATTTGTTGCTTAGTGATAAAAAGAAGTATAGAATGTATGTATATAAAGGTGGTTGAATTTATTTTGTTCTAAAAAGGCAAGAATTGGTGATTTCATTGTCATGATTGTTTTATCCAAGTCACATGCAGAAGGAGACAGAGTGGAGGGAAGAGAGTCAGATTCTGTAGGGGTAGAGTGAATATTTCTCCTAAAGATGATGTGTTTCTGCTATCAACACCTAAACCAGAGCTCATGGGCAGGATACTGAGTAAGGGGATATAATAAAAACCATTCTCACTGAAGGTTAATGATAGCAGGCCACGACAAAGAAGAAAGGTAGGCAGAATCAACAGGAAGAAGCTCCTCCTGTGAAGCCCACAGGTAACCAGTACCTAGGTGAAAGGTAATGTCACTCAACTAAAACCCTTTGGTATTTTCCACTGTAGGAAAGACTTGGCTAGACAGATATATATATATATATATTTTGACCTATAGAGTTCTCACTAGACGCTGTCCTGAGCATGATTGTTTTTGAGACTTAAGCCTTCAGTCAAGAGTTAATGTGAACATAGCCAGAAGCAGCCATGCAGGCAGGGAAGGGGAACCAAAAAACCAATCCTCACCCCCCTGTGAGCCAGCCAGCACACAGTCTGGGAGACAACAAGAACACCCCCCACCCCGCCCTGCAAAAGCAACTGGCTAATTCAGAGGAACACAGGCTGAGATGATAGCAACCAGAGTAAAAAATCAACTTAATGCTTATATTGTTTGATTGATTATGCAGGCTTAAAGCCAGTAGTCTGAGCATATATTTAGAGGATAACAATATGCAATATAGCAACTATGAGGGATTTTCTTCTGTCTTGTTTTTGAAATTCAATATTGCTCTCATTGTTTTTGTTTTGTTCCCTTTTATTATTTTGTTTTATTCTCTTTAAAGTAAAAAAAGAGTTAAATGTGAGCGAATGAGTAAATACATTGAAGAAAGATTTGAAGAAGAGAGAAAAGAGGTGTCAGAGGAAGTTGCAATGGAGGCTGAAGTCTTGCAAGAGTTTTTCAATTTGGGTCTCGATAGGAAGTCAGATTTGAGGCTGTATGATGACTTCCTTTACCCTACTTCTCTTAGAAATTTTTCCAGTCCAAAAAGTAGGTCCTTCATATTTAGTGTTTATAGTTTTCTGGTTTATTTCAGATTCTGTTACATAACCATAAATATGGTTCATAAAACTAAAAGGAACAAATTAATAGTTAAAAAAATAAAAAGTAGATCCTTGTAGCTATACTTGTACTAGATGAGGAACTGACCATACTTGGAAAATTTACATGAGTTGGGTCAATCAGCTTCATTATTCCCAGAATTTAGTTGGTGGCACTGGAGCTGGAAAGTGATGAGACCAGAAGAGTCCATTTTATGATACCAGCCTGGATATTCATAAGGAACAAAGTGGATGCAGATGCTTAGGGGACAAAAGAAGACAGAAGAAAGTTCCAAAGAGCTGAGTTAGCTGCCTGAGATTTCAAAGACTGCAGTTGCTGCTAGCAACTGAAATCTGGTTGATTGATCTGTTCCTGAATCTTAGGAAATATTCTCGGATCTTTGAAATAGTGTTTGCCAATCTGAATAGGTTTATGCATCTTGTAACCTGATGATGATGACTCAGAAAATCTTTGTGGAGGACATTGGGCCAAAATTTATTAACAAAATTATTCATTTGTTCACAGGCTTTTATCCTTTTTAATGACATTTTTGTGAGATTCTCTCAGGATATGTTAACCAATATGTTATTAAACATTGGGTGTGGTGGTATGCTCCCATTTTCCCAGAACTTGGCAGGCTGAATCTGGAAGATCACTTGAGTTCAAGAGTTTGGTGACAGCCTGGGCAACATGGCTAGACCTTTGGCTTCTCAAAAGCCAAACCAAGCCAAAACCAAAGTAAATCAAGAGGTCCAAATACATGATATGACATTCATAGATGCTCTAGTCTAATTCCTGAAAATTTATTGTAGTTTACTTAAACATAAGCAATTGAAGCAAAGAATTAAACAAGATATTGCACACTCTTCTTTTTTTCACACTGTATTTAACTGAAAATTTTCCTGAACATATTTTTTAGAAAGACAACTTGGTGACTGCAGAACAAATGTGGATTGTAAGAAAAGAGCTTTGTCAGTGATCAAAAGTGAAGGCAAACACAATGACAAGTAAACAAAGAAATTAAAAGATTCACATACACAGATAAACCTGTTTTGGGATCCAGCTCTGTCTTTATCAGTGGAATGACTTTGGGGACTATTACTTTATCTCTCCAAGTCTAAGCTACTGCCTCTGTAAAAAGGGGAAAAATTCCTGAATCAAAGGATGACTGTGAACATGTAAGTGGGGTTAATGTGTGTGTTTGGCATAGTCCCTAACTTTTGGCAAATTCTTAGTGACTGACTAACATCAGTATTCATATCATTGCTATCATTACTGAGTACCTTAGGAACAAGAGTCAAAGCCTCTCAGGGCATCTTTCCTTTATTATTTTGTCTACTGAATCCTGCCAGGAAGACTCATCTTTTATTTCTGGGTTAAAGGGAAGCCCTCAAAGTCTTCACCTCCCTCCCTTTCCTGGACTCCTGCACTTGATGTTCTAGATATGCCAGGGGCTGAGCTTAAAATTCCTCCCTCAAAGGCACACCCTGTCCAGTCTAGCTCTATGGGAAAGACATAGCTTTCCCTTTCTTTCCCTTCCCCAAAGACTACCAACAGGGATTTGATTTTCAAATGATTTCACTACTTATCTAGGGAGAGAAGACGGCCTGAAAATATGAGCCACAGGGACTTACTTTTTGAGGTGCTCAAAATTGTTCCTGCAATGGATCTGAGACCTGTAGATGCCACACAGAGAAAAACCAAGCTGTTTTCTAATGAATCTAGGACAGTGCCTGATGGTGCTTCCCCTCCACTGGTCATAACCCTCAGGTGAGGAGATGGCTTGAATGTGTTGACCATACACTCTCTCTTTTTTCTTTCCCTTTTTCTAATTCTCTCCAATTCTATCTTTTCTTCCTCCTTTTATTCCATTTTTGTTTGTTCCTCCTCCTGTCACTTCCTGTCTGCCTTTTCAATTGCTTTTCTTTGTCGTTTTAATCTTTGTCTTCCTTATTTTTTCTCTGTTACTCATTTGCCTCCCTCTTCCCTCCTTCTTTCTCTTTTTTTTCTTTAAATAACTAGCATGATGATGTTCTGGGCCAAAAATTAAGGAAAGACAAAAGTCATGTGCATCTCTTGTGATGAAGAATCCCATATCCTCACACGAAGGCTGAAGGTCCAAAGGGAAAGGAAAGGGTAATGCAGATAACTCCCAGGAGAGCTCCTGCAGTCTCACTGGCCCTGGGTTTGCTCAGATGTCTTCCACTCCATGACTCGAAGTTTTTGTCGGGAGATTTTCCCTATGATGGTCTTGGGCAGGTCCGAGACAAACTCCAGCTGTTGAAAAAAATCAGACCACAGTGGGGGAAGGGTTTAAATCTGGAGGCTCCAGGTGAGTAAGGATGGAAATTTTAGAAAATAACTGGGACGGGGACCAGGAGGGCTATAAAATTTCTTTATAGAGTGGGGTATAAAAGGCTAGTGTTGGGTATGAAGTCTAGTGCACTGGTCTTTAACATTCTCTTGCACAGAGGAGAAACAACAAAGTGAGTATGACACTGAGTTTTGACATCTGACTATCTGGATTTCATTACCCACTCTCCTTAGCTTTGGACAAGTCCTTGGCTTTTCAATTCCCACACAGAGTAAACTAGATGATCATCAACACTCAGCGGATTTATGTAAGTGTTGAATGAGATTTTTCATGCTGAATTTTCCATGAACAATAAGCACTCCCAAGCATTAACTATGTTTGTTAACCTAGAGTAGAAAGACTAGACAGCTAGAAATTAGGATACCCTCTCAGTTGAATTTCATTTTAGTCATTTCCCACAGACAACCTTTTGAGAAAACTATAAAATTTCATGAATTTCACTACTTTAACCTGTCACACAAATGTTTGAAGTTGAGCCCCCACCCCCCGCCTCAATTTCTGATAGTCTTGGGTTTTAAAGACAGTTGTATGCCTCAGCTGGCCATGGAATTGGTTCATAAGTCTGATATTTTAGGTTCAGTAAAAGTAATGATAAGGTTATTTACACAAAAAATGATCTTCTTAGAGAGTACCTCCAAAAGGGCTTAACATCTATGGTCTGCGAGCAAAATATAATTTGCATCATATTCTTGTAAATAAAGTTTTCTTGAAATATAGTCACACTCATTGATTTGGGAATAATTGTCTCTCATGACACACAACTTGGATTTCTGTGGTTCAGTTATCTGTGGTCAACTATGATCTGAAAATATTAAGTGGAAAATTCTAGAAATAATGTGTAGTTTAAATTCATTTTGTAGATTATGATTGCCTTATATTATTATAATTAATTTCTCATTGTCTCTAAACTATTAAATTTTATCTTAGCTATATGTATTTAGAGGAAAAATATAGTACAATATATATGTATGATTTGGTACTATCTGTGGTTTTGGGAATCCATGGAGAATCTTGGTTTAGGTCCCTTGTGGATAAGGTGAATTTTTTGTTGTCTCTGGCTGCTTTAGCATTAAAAGGGAAACAAAGACTATATGACATAAAACATGTACCATTTGGCCCCTGTGGGTACATAGAGTAGAAAGACGCCATAGGGGAGCCCGAGGTTTAATGCTAAAAAGAAAACTACTCTGGTATCATAAAGAAAGGAGCAGAGCTAGGTATGATTGATGGAAGATAAACGAGCTTGTTTCCTGGGAATTCTAGAGGAAAGACTTGTGAAAAAAGGGCACTCAAGCAGTTCCTTCCCTGTGCACCACGTGATAGGGCTCCTCACCGGATCTTCCAAAGTATTAAATTACAATTCAAAAGTCCTTTGTTTGGTGTGATTGGATTTCTAGTTTCCTTGTAAAACACCAAATGTTAATTATGTGCCGGTTGTTCTTTTGAGGACCTGATGCCTTATAAATATTAATTCATTCTTAACAACCTGTGTAAGGCTATTATCCCTATTTTATGGATCAAGAGTCTGAGGAACATAGAAGTTATTGAATCATCAAATGGTGGAAATGGACTTTGAAACTGGCAGCGTGATTTCTGAGACTCTGTGGGCTTTCTTTTTTTCAGCTTCATGGCTGAAAGCACAAGGTGGGCTCTGTTACACAGGAGAGACCCCAGCAAGGATGAAGGACTCATTACCTAACATCAAGCCCATTCTCAGAATTGCCTCAGCTAAGGGTGCTGTCCTACCCATGGTTGCGTCCTCTTCCTAGGGCAGTGACATTCATGTTTGATCTACCTGGGACAATAGGGTTCCCTCTCCTTCTTATTCTGACTCAGGATGACTCCAAAGGCCATAGCTTCAGAACTGCCCATGAGGTTGGCTGAGGTTCCACCTGGGACTGAATCACAGTGCAACCTCAGCTTCTGCCCAAGCCTGACCCCTCCAAGGTACAAATCCCAAACACTAGATTACCTCCTTCATGCTAACTTCCTTCCCTGGGAATACTTCTCAGGAACTCAACTGAGACAAGTAGCTTGTGCTAAGGAAAGGCCAGTGGGCAGCCCAACTATGTAGAAGTTTAAGAGGTCTTCAGCTTCATGTGGTTGCTCTCATCTTCTGCTCTAGACTCAAAACACACTTCTTTTTTGCACCCAAATCCAAAAACTGGGTTCCTGCTATATCACCTTCTACATGGTTGCTCTCATCTTCTACTCCAGACTCAAAACACACTTCTTTTTTTGCACCCAAATCCAAAAATTGGGTTCCTGCTATATCACCTTCCAACTTCAGTTCCCACCTCAGAGGGAAAATAGGTCTACTCCAGTCAGTACTTTTTGCCTTTTCTGGTAAAAGCACTTCAGTCTTTCTGTGAGGGGCCACCTCTTGCTCATTCAGTGCATATCCTGGGTATGGACTCCCTCATGTTTTCTCCAATTTACCCAGCAATGACCATATGACCCAGAGCTGGCCAATCAGAAGATTCCATTGTACTGGTTGCATGATTAGTTTAATGATGGGCAGATGATCTCAACTGACCTAGTAAGAATCAACCCAAAAGCTTTTGTTGAGGTGTTTGACTTTCTACTGGACTGTACAAAACTGCCACTAATGTGCATTTGGAGCTGTTGGCACCCCAGTGGGAGATAATTACAAGACATTAAGCCAATACAGAAAAAGAAAAGTCAACAAGTGAAAGAGACATCTCTGATTATGTCATACAAAGTCCATGGACCAGCCTTGTGAAAGCTTTAACCAGTCCTGGACTTGTCAGTTGTGTGAGCAATGTATTGCAAGTCAGATTTCTGCTATCCTCAAGTCAAACTGTACAATCCAAATAGTGTAGCAAGCTGTCTGTGCAAAGATTGCTAGATAAACCAGATATTTACTAGAACTTGTTCCCATGAAAGCCTTGAACTTTTAACTAGAGTGAATCAAAGGCTGAGATCACTAGTCAGGCATCAAGGCAGCTGTTGAGCTGGTTGTGGTGACCCAAGGCTGTAGTCTCAACACTCTGGGAAGCACAGGCAGAAGAATCACAAGTTTGAGCCTCATCTGGGCAATTTAGTGACTTAGCAAGATCTTGTCTTAAACTAAAAAGTAAAAAAGGATTGACCATGTAGCTCAGTGAGAAGGCCATGGACTCAGTTCTTAGTACCTTGATCACAATCGGAAAGCACTTTGAGTTGGTGGCCCTTCTTTCATGCTGAAGAAGAGAAATGTAACAGGAGAATCATCTCTCCTTCCCCAAGTGTGGAGCACATGGGAGCCCAGTGGCCTTACCTTCCTGGGGTACTTGTATGGGGCTGTCACTGTCTTCACATGTTGTTGCAGTTCCTTGGTGAGCTGGTCCTTGTCATGGGACAGGAAATGTGGGGTCAGCACCACAAAGGCCTTCACTACCTACAGAGAGGATGTTGGGGGCCAACAGAGATAGATTGCAGAACTCCATCACCTTGTGGGATACCGAATGGGTATTGAGAGGCCCACTATGGTTATTACCTCTATGCGCCTCAACTACCCTCCATTTCTGGGCCCCCAGGAAAGAAAAGACTAGTGGAAAAAGTGGCTGAGGTTCCAGCTCAAACTCAAGAGGATTATGGGTTGAAAAGGTAGAAATATAGGAAGAGCACAGGCTCATGCTCCAGGGACAAAAGAGACTGAAAATAGAGACAAGGAGAAAGTAGAGATAGGGAGAGAAGAGAGAATAAAGTCATGACTCTAAATGACTTATCTTGGCTAAACTTCAGTTTATAACCATCTTACCATGGTTATAAAGTTGTCATATTTTAATTCACAGGAAATGAAATAAAATCATCTACAGCAGAGTTTAGTTTAAAGCTCAGTAGATTTCCTTTTGCCTTGTTTGTCTGGTGGTTCCCACACTTTCCCTGTGACTTGCCCCATATGTACCAGAGGCAGGGCATTGGGAGACCTAGCTTGCAGCACTGTAATGGGAAGTTGGTCTCCACCTCCCACCATGACCTTCTCTAAACATACTCTAAGCCAGTGATAACAAACATGATAACAAACAGCTTGTCACAGCACATGTGCCATAGGTTTGCCACAATTGCAGTAAGCTCTGTTAAACTCCACTGGGGAGTCTATGACCCTGTATTATAGGTGTCTTTGTTTCTCTTATTTTTCCTGTGAGTCTCAGAGCTCAAGGCTGTATACTCTCAAATCCCTTCTCTGTTCTCCTGGCCAGGAATCAGATTCAGATTCAAACAGTAGGATAAAATGTCTGTAGACCAAAATCAGATCTGAAGTGGTGCCAATGATGTGCTAGGCACTGTTCCAGAAATTTAAAAAATATTAATACATTTAATATAATAATCCCTCATCTTACATATGGGGAAACTGAGGAGCAGGAGCTAAGAAGCTTGCCCAACGTCACACAGCTAGTAAATAGGGGACCTGGACCTATTTACCCCCAAGTCCACAAGCCTGTATTAGCCCCCAAGTCCACACTGCCTGTGTGTTTCTCATCTATCTTCCTCCCAGTTGCTGTTCCCAATCACCTCTCCTCGCACAGGGTCTGGGCTGCTGACCACAGCTGTCTCAGCCACGGCGGGGTGCTCCATCAACGCATTCTCCACCTCTGAGGGTCCGATTCGGTACCTGCAAAGAAGCCTTCCTTCAGAGAAGATACCCATCCCTAGGCCATTCCCAAAGTACAGAGCCACTCACAATGAAGATCGAGTATCCTTCCCAGCCCAGAACCAAGCTCACCCACTGGAGTTAATGATATCATCTCCTCGCCCCAGGAACTGGAAATACCCATCTTGATCCTTTATTCCCTGGTCTCCCGTAAGCCAAAAGTCCCCTTGAATGTTGGCTGCTGTCTTCTCGGGATCTCCCTGGTGACCACAAAAAGATGTCATTGCATGTCCAAAGCCCAAATCCTCTGCCCCAGAGCCACCACGAACAAATAGGCGGGTTGTACAGTTTACAAATTGAACCACTGAACCCGCCCTGTACTCACAACCCTAGAGCTCAGGTCAAACTCACTCTTTCTCTTTTATGTGTCAGTCATCCCACTTAGGGCTTCTCATCTGCTCCCCTGGGTCTATTCTGATGGATTATATCAATATGCCCATTCATTTATCCTCTAGGCATTTCCTCAAACTGATTCCTTTCCATGGACAGCCCAACCTCTGCTCATCCCACGACATGTTCAAGGTATCATGTTGACTATGTACTTTTGCCTGTCTTGTTTATTAGATTTGAAAGTTCCAGAGACACACCAGCAAGCATGCAGGTCCCCTCGTGATGTGTGTGCCTGTAGAAAGCCTGGACCTCTCTTCAGCTGAGGTCCTTGGCTATACATGATAGAAGGGCTCGAGATTGTCTATGCATCTGGAATCTTACTCAGATCAGGGACTGGGTTCTCAATTGGACGTTCAGTGGCTGAATTAGTGGGTATTATGGGAACATCTTAGCCCAGCTCCTTCACTGGGCATGGGAGGCTATTGAAGATCAGAGAGGTCAAGAGGCTTGTCTAAGGCCAAACAGCCATTCTAGGTGGTAGACCTAGGACCAGAAGCCAACTTTCTTGACCACTAGTATAGCTTTCTTTTTCATTAGGCAGCTTCCATTGGCACTAGAATCCTGGCCTTAAATCCTGGCCTCCCTTCTTCTGTTCCTTGTCTGTCAAATGGGGAAAATCTGTGCCTAGCTCCTTTACTGAGAAGTGAGGACAGACGGGTGCAGCTCACAGAAAATGCTTGGCTACAAGTTCAGTATAAATGGTCCTTGATACTACAACCTCAGTTTCATCATCTGTATAATGAGAATGGCAATTCTGATGTATTATAGTTCTTTTATTCAACACATTCAGATGCAGCAAAGTTCTAAGTATATCACAAATATCAATGTTTTCACACACCTATACTAACGCTAAGAGATATCCATGTCACATAGTTTACAGATGAGGAATCTGAGGCATGAGAGATCAAACTTGCCCCAGAACTCCCAGGAAATGGTGAACAGAGTTTGATCTGGGGCATAGTGGCTGTGAAGAGTTCGTAAGATGACCATAAGGATTACATGAGTTTCATGTTTGTGAGGTGCTTCAGGACAGTGCTTATTTTAAAGTACATACAAAATAAATGGCAGGAACTGCTATTATTGTATTAACTGTACTTTTAACTTATCAGTTAATTACCTTGGAGGTCAAAAGGCACATGTTGGACCATTTACCAACAGCCATGGTGTGAGTCTTGTAATTGCTGCCTTTGCCATTGTCACCTGTTAAGTGAGTTGGCTAACTCAAGGGTTATCTATATGGATGTGGTGTGGAAAGTATGGTGAATATCTAAATGACTGAAATTTTTTTACAGTAAAAGACACATGGCCATTAATTTCCCTCAACTAGTCTCTCTCATTTTGAACACACTTAACCCACCATTCTCGCCACTTTCTGAAGCAGTTCCGGAAGACTTCCTTCATGTGTGTCTTTACAAGTCATGGTCAAAAATAGAGTAGGAATGCTACCACCAAATACCATCCAACAGAGGGGCAGCCTGGCAAAAAATAATGTATCCTTATTCCCCTTATTCACCAGATCTGACACTGTGTAATTTCTGTCTCTTCTCCAAAGTCAAAATGAGGATGAAGATAAACATTTTGAATTGATTCGACTATCAAGGCAGTCATGTCAGCAAAACTAAAGGTACTCATGAAAGAGGACTTTCAGAACTGCTTCAGACAGTGCTGAGAATGGTAGATCTGTGTGTTTGAAGCAAGGAGGAGCATTTTCAGTGGCATTAATGTATCTTTTACTGCAAAAAATTTTAAGAATTTAAGCTTTCACTGTGTACTTTGTTATACCCCAAACTTCTCAGGGGTCTGGAGACAGGATGCCTCCAGCAAACAGTCTTCTGCTCCTACAGGAAACATCCATTATTGGACATGGTATACTCCATTCCCAAATCTGGCCAGTGCCTCTTGGAAGGCTCATGACTTTGGGGACTCCTCATTCCACTTGGCACCTCTCATGCAACAGGGAGCAGAGGGAGGGCCAGGCTCTCACCACATAGCCAGAGAAGATGCCTATAGGCTTGATGGGCTTGACCCTGACTGCAATGTTTCCTTCTTTGCCAGGTGGCAGGACGTTGCCTTCATCATCTACAACCTGGAGGAAGAAGCAGATTGGGAGATTGAGCCACACAGCAGGAGAGGCACTAAATGACAGTGCGAGAGAACTGAGCTGGCCAAATGGAAAATCTCTTACACTGGAGGAAACCAGAAACAGGAACCAGAAGCCAGGGAGAGCTAAGGGTTAAACTCGCATCCCAGATCCACCTGCTGGGATCCAACTAGCTAAGGCTCTTATTGAGACTGGACCTGATGGGACTGGGGAGGAGCTTCAGACTCTAGAAGCTCAGAGGGAATCAGCGCCTCCCTTTAGCTTAGAGGCCCACTTTACCTGTAGGCTTGAAAATCAGAAAGGCCAAGACTCAAGGTCTCTTTGGTGTCTTACTACTTGACCTCCAGCTATTTAAGCTCTGTTTCTTAATGCCTTCTTTCATAAAAGAAGGATGTGGACAGCTGATCTCACAGTTCTTATATTCATGACACAGGATTCCAAAACGCAGCTCAGTAAATGGTTGTCAGAGTGAGCCGTATGTGACAGTTAAGCTTAACTTGTTGACAAATGACTGTCCTGGAAGCCACCTAGGGGAGGAGGAAAGCACACTGCTTGGTGTATCTGAGTGGGCCATGGAGGCGTGGCCTTGGGCATTTGTGTCTGGTCCCTGGCCCTTTTTTCTCTAATGCTGTCCCCTAATCTGCTTCGTTGCCACCATGAACCAAGCAGCTTTGTTCCACCATGTTCTTCAGCCATGAAGTTCCTACCTTTGAACTGGCTGACCATGAACTAATAAACCTCACCTCCTTTAGAGGATGGGCATCAGGTATTTGATCTTATTAAAGGGAAAGGTGACTATTACACAAGATGACAGATAATGCTGATTCTGAACAAAGTGTAAATTATTACACTTTCGAGGCACAGAATTACATTTGTAATCATAGATGCACAAAAAGAAGTTTTAGCTCTTGAAATTCAGTCCAAAGAATAACAAGGAAAGAAAAAGCTTTTAAGCATACCAAGCTCATTGTACTGTTGCTTTTTTTTAAAATTTTAACTTTATAATTTTTTTGTACTGTTGTTTTTACTAGTAAAAATGTGAACTCCATCCATCAGGCTAAACAACTACTTAAAAAGTGGTAGAGTCATCATACTTAGAACAGTTTAGTCATTAAAATTTGTGCTTTATATTGACATTAATTAATCTGGAAAGGTGGTAACCCATGGTTGTTAAATAATAAATGCAAGTTACAAAATGTCATGTCACATCTCTACTTTTATTTCTAAAATATATATACATATATAACTAATCAATTTGTTATGTGTGCCTAGTGGTTCACTCTGAATGATAAGAAAACAAATTACTTTCCTTTCCCTTTCTTCCTTCCTTCCTTCCTTCCTCCCTTCCATCCACCCTTCCTTCCTTTCCCTTCCCTTCCCTTCCCTTCCCTTCCCTTCCCTTCCCTTCCCTTCCCTTCCCTTCCTTTCCCTCCCTTCCTCTTTTCCTCCTCCTTCTGTCTTTTAAACCATCCAAATGGCTCTACTTTGTATTATTTTAACTCAGTGAACAATGAAATGAATAAATTACTAGCATTAGGCCTTTTCTGTTTTCCCTCACTTCTCAGTGCCCCTGACAAACCTGTACATCGTAGTGGGGAACGGCTTTTCCCAGGTAGCCTGGCTTGATCGTCATCGTGCTGGAAACTCTGCAGGTCAGCCCCTGTGGAGAGCCACAGGCAGGTCAGCAAACCTCAGGGGAGGCCCAGAGTCACAGAAAGAAAGAAAACCCAAATCTTGCAGTTCCTGACACTGTCCCAAGTAGGCTCGCACTTGATAGCTGCTTCTTGTCTCATTCCCTGGCTCACCCCTTTTCCTAGAACCCCAGTCCTAGAGTTTCTGCTACACATTCAGAAAGTAGCCTGACTGATTATTCTCCAGGGAAAAGAAACTGACCACCACATTATAAAAATACAGTTAGATAGGAAGAGGAAGTTCTAAAGATCTATTACATAGTAGGGCAACCACCAGTCACTAATTTACCACGTTTAGAAGAAAGAATTTCCCTGACACAGCAAAACGATAAATGTTGAAGACAATGGATATGATAAAACCCTAATCTGATCATGACATCTGGTATACAGGTATGCAAATATCACACTGTACCTTACAGATATATACAATCACTATGAATATTGTGTCAATTTAAATTTTGAAATAGATATAATTAATGGTCAGCAGAATGCAAGGGCTAAAAGAGGCTTCTTAAACTGCATCCCATGGACCAGTTCTGCTTGAATCCAGAGACAAACCCTCCCAACAGGAAGGCTGGGGTCCTGCACTCTCCCCCTGCCCCCGCGGCTGCAGCCCTTGCCTGGGTGTGCTCGCCACGCTCCACTGCCTTCATCCACCCTTGCAAAGCTCTTTCTGACTGTCCATCCCACAGCACTGCCATCAACAGCAGCTCTGCCAGGAGGGCCCTGAGCCCAGGAAGGATGCAGGTTAGAGAACAGAGAGGCGGTGGGCAGTGTTGGGTCACAAGTGAGAAATACCAGGAAAGGGGCAGAGAGGTGGGGCAGTTTACCTGGGTGCTTTGATAAGGAGAATAGTATAGAGCAGTGAGATTCAGTGTCCACATCCATCTTTAAGAGTTCCAAAAAGATGGCTGGGGAGGGGAACAAGGGCTCTCCACTTCTCACTCACTTCACACTGAGCTGCTTAGCACAGTGCCCGGCATGACTGATAATCTCATGTCTCTGTGCAAATGTGACAGTGTCACAAAGGATTTTCCTGACCCTGTTATCTGAATTACCAGCTGATTTACTTTGAATACACTTGTCTTCTCTCTGAAGCTTATGTTGAAGTTTGATGGCCTTGGCTGTGGGGCTGGGAGCTGGAAACTTGAAGGTGTGATTAGGTTGTGAAGAGTGATTTATGCCTTTCTAGTGGGAAGGAGTCCTTGTTTTCTCAAAACTGAATCATTACCAAGAAAATGAACTGTTAGAAAGCACAGCTCCCCGTGTGTCCTGCCTGGTTACTTTCTGTTTTCCACCACAAGCTGAAGCAGCACATGGCTGTCATTAGGTGTAGCCACCCAGTTGCGATCAGTGGTAGCCGCCTGGTTGTGGAGTTTCTGGCCTGCACAATCATGAGTCCAAATAAACCACTTTTCTTTATAAATTTCTCAGCATCAGGTATTCTGTTATAGAAGTAGGAAATGGAGTAATTCTCAACCCCTTACCCTACTTCATTTGCTTGACTTTTTCCATAGCTCTTTCCACCACCTGCCAAGTCATCTGTTTCTTAACTTATTGTCATGTTCCCTAGTGGAATGAAAATTACACAAAAGTAGGAGCTTTGGATTGGTTCCCCGCCTATAGTAAGAGCTTAATGCATGCTTACAAAATATGTGAATGAAAAATGATAACTGATATGTTTACTATCCAAGTGGCCTCGCACCAGGTGTGCCCAGCCCAAGTTCCCAGGAAGCAGGTACCGTTTCTGTCTGGCCATAGAATTCCCGGATGTCCACTCCTGTGTGGGTCTTCCACTTCTGCAGAGTGTCAGGAAGCAAGGTTTCCCCTCCAGTGAAGCAGTTCTTTAGGTGTGGAAAATTGTAACTGCATGAGAAAGAAAAGAGTTCTACCTCAGCCTGCCAGGAACCAAAACTGCCTAGCACTGAGTTCTGGGTGCTTTGATACAGTAGCTGACTTCCAGGGGACACCCATGTTCAAAGGGTCAGGAAAACATTCACGCACGTTTATGAGGGAAGCCTGGAGATGGGACTAGTAGGTCCTACCCCCGTCTCCCCCAGCCTCATCACCTGGAAAGGTCCTGTTTGAGCAACATCCTATAAACCAGGGGGGCACCCACCATGCAGTTGATGGGATAGCTGGACAGCACCTGGAAGGAGACAGGTGAGATTCTGGTCATCAGGGCAGGTGCTCAACTTATGTGTATGCACAGTAGGTACAACCATGAGCTATGGAGTCACAGAGGTCCAGATTGGAATCCTAGCTTGTTTTCTATATCTATTTGAGTCTAAATGAACCCCACAGTTCCCATACAACCTCAGGACACAAATAACACAAACAAATGTCTAACTGTACAGCAAAAAGAGGAAGGAGTATTTTGCAATGCTTCGTGAAATCCTGATTGGCTGTTCCTGCTCATGTAAGGCTTGCCCTTATAAACACATCCCTGCAATTATCAAGGGAGTAGGAGATGCTGGTACAAATTAGTTATTGGTTTTGGTCAAGTCTGTGAATCTCCTGAAAAGAGCTCCCACGGCCTCACCATCCTTCAAGTACTGTGTTTTAAACCCAGGCCTTTCACATTAAACCACATCCCAGTCATTTTATTTTATTTGTATTAGTATGTCTTTGCAGTATATGATGATTACATTCCTTGTGGGGAGTTGGTACATATACATAACCCATCTTATTGTTTTGTTTTGAGATTTGCTGATTTGCCCAGGCTGGGCTTGAACTTGCAATCTTCTTACTTCAGCCTTCCAGAGTGTGGGATTACAAGCCTATGCCACCAGGCCTGGCCTGACTTGAAATCAGCTCTATAAGAGATTATTTCCAGTCAGAATATTTCTGGAAGATAATTGAGGCAAAAGAAGGCTTTGGAAAGTTAAAAGTATTTATTGACATTTCCAAAGGAATGCTACAAAATAGGCTATGATTGAGCACTTGCCACACCCTATGCAATGTCAGAAAATTCTCATGGTAAGCCACTGATGTGTGTACCACTATCCCAATTTTATGGAAGAAAAACTGTGATTTAGGGAATTAAGTAACCTGTTCACTGTCACATAACCAACAAGTGGCAGAAGCAATATTTGCAGCATTTCCCTAGGATTACCAGTCTCATCCCAGGCTTTGCTTTGTGCTGAATTCAATAAGACGGTTTAAGCAAAATGTCTACAAAAAATGTTAACATGAGAGCACTGTGCAATCATTTCATTCAAGTGCTTTTGAAGAGTGAGTATAATCTACGAAATCGTCCTATGTCCCTCATCACTTTGTCTTACAAGAAGCTCAATTTACAATTATTTCCTAAACCTCTTCTCACTCTCCTTCGTTATTTTTGCCACACTTCCAGAATGGACTTAATAATTTTACATTTTTAAAATTTTTGTTTTGCTTATAGAATTTATTCTTTGTTTGTGTTTTGTTTGTGGAGTTCAACAAAGACTGATTTAATTCTTTTTGGGAAGTGGCAGAGAATAACGATATCCTTTGAAGAGACTTTCCTGAGAGATCCCAGACTGTGCTCAACTTTTTTGACTTTTGAAGATGTCATTTGTGTCTTTGTTTGCTTCTGGGAGATCTCCCCTGCAGCCAAATGGAGATCTTGGCGGGCCACCTATTGCCACAGAGATCTGCAGGCTCAGGAATGTGATGGGTCAACCACCTCACCACAATTGGAGCCCAATATTGGCTGCATCTTGCAAGCAGAATGAAACCATTTTTATTGCTGATCCATAAAAGTGATTAGCTGTGGTTTGCAGATTTCTCTTATGTCTCACAGAGGAAAAAATCCTATATATCTTCAGAATTCTTCCTAGAAAGTAGCCCTTAACTGAAGATGCCTGTCCATGATGGGATGGGAAACAAAGTGTGAAAGAATCTTAAAATGGGATACTGTACAACAATTTGAACGAACAAATTTCTGACACACGCAGTCCAATAATAGGGACTAATCTCACATAGTAAGTGAGAGAAGCCAGTCACATAAACTTATGGTAAAACTCTACTTAAATAAAATTCAAGAAGAGGAACAAGTGAGTGAAGATTCTTCTGTATTTATAGGTGTTTTCTCACTTGAATCACTGCCTGAACTCTACCTCCTGCCAGATCCCATAGCACAGTTAGATTCTCATAGGAGCTTGAATCCTAATGCAAAGTGCACATGTGAAGACTCTAGGCTGCTTGCTCCTTTGAATCATTCTGAAAGTATCCCAGCTCTAAACCCTGACCTTCTACTTCCACCCTTCTTTGTGCTCCATGGAACAATTGTCTTCCATGAAATGTTCCTGGTGCCAAAAAGGTAAGAGAGTCACTGTTTCAAGCTACTCAGTCTAACCCAAGCTAACATAGGTATCAGCCCTAGCTAACATAGGTAAATAGTTTTCAAGCTACGCATTTGGAATGATGGCACTCTGCACATTTTACCTTCAGCTTGTATGTAAGTCCCCAACTTATTCGAGCTCCATTTGGAGAGAACATTTGAAAATCAGATTCATTTATAAGTCAGACAACGTGAGTCTTACACATCTTTGGCACAGATATACAATGTGCATTGCTTTGTGCTTCCTAGAAGTTCCCTCCCCATCACCACTGCTTTTTGTCTTGCTTCTGGACATCCTGGGCTCTGAGTGAGCACTATAGCACTGAACACTGTCACACTGTACAGTGAGCACACAGCAGCACAACTGTGACAATGTTTGGCAGACATGTGAGCTAGTTCTGTGATTTGTTCACATCTACGAATGTTTGTTATGCAAAGTCCATTTGTATCTGTGAAAGTTTCAATTTAAATATTCATAAATTGGGGCTTACTTTATATTATTCCACAAATAAAAAAGGGGAACATTACTTGGGCATACACAGGAGAGGGACAAGCTATCACCTCCAATATTTCACCCCTCCTTTTGCATATAGCTTGTTCCCCTCTGTCCGATGTCTGACATGGGCGGAAGAGCCCATTAAATATGTGCTGAGAGAACCAACAGCCTAAAAAGCCTGTCCTAAGAATACACACTTTTCAAGTGGAGACCATGAGCATCATGATGTCATGGGCCAGTGCCATCTTGTTCACCAACCGCTGCCCTCTCATGTGGCTGGGATTTGGCAAAAAGTACACGAATGGAAGTCAATTGCAATCAGTTGAATTGTGGAGACTTTGGGCTCACTGACCAGCTGATGCAAGCTGGGTCTTCTCTTACCTTTAAGATGGTCTGTGGGTCAATTTTTGGCAAGAGATGGATAAATACGCATGCTCCCAAACTCCAAGGTTCCAGAAGTGTGGTCAAAATGTTCAAGATCCAGCCTGTGTCTGATATGGTCCAGATGAGGTCAGAGGGTTGCAGACCTGTCCAAGCTCTGGGGACACACAAACATACAGGGGAGTGCATGCAGACATGTGTGGGAGGGCAAGGGCAGGGGTGTGTGTGTGTGTGTGTGTGTGTGTGTAGCTGCTCATCTATCTGGAGGAATGTGTGTAAAAGAAAGCAGGCAGGGGAAGGAAAGGTGTTCTATCCACAAATTCTGTACCAAGAGGGGACATACATACAGAAAGTGTGATTTTAGTAGATATGACTTAACAGGTAACTTGGCCTCATTCTCATTTTATTCTCCAAACTTAGCACAGTGTCTGACATGTGGGAACCACCCAAGAAAAGTTTACTAGCACAAGATGTCGAGATGAACATTTTTACAGAGGCTTTGCTGAAGTTTAAGTTTGGCTGGATAGAACTTTGTTTGTTTTCTCCAACCATCATGAACTGTCTGAGCAGAGCTGAGGGTCTTGTATCAGGTAGAACTTGTTTTCTTTCTCTCTTCAAATCAGAATAAGAGGTGTTTGGCAGCTGGGTGTGGCGGTACCTGCTTGTAGCCATAGCACTGTGAGAGGCTGAAGCAGGAGATTCTGAAGTATGAGGCTGTCATGGGCAACTTTGCAAGACTATGTCTCAAAGATAAAAAACAAGAAGGGAGTATGGTTGTATCTCAGTGACAAAACCATAGATTCAATCTCCAATGCAAAAAGTAGAAGGTGTATTTATTCTGTCTTAAATAAAAAAAGAATTAGCCTGAACATAAGAATTTTCTCATAATGGAAGTTATCATTGTATAATATTTTAGTTCTATAGAGAATTAAGCATATTAGTATCAAATCTTCAAGGATAGAAACTTAGTCATATTTGAGTAGCTTTCCTACTATCCTTTAAAAATAGAAGTTTATTCCAGTTCATCTGTTAAATAATTTATAATTTAATTTTGATTCTATAAGCTCAGACTAGAATATTTAAATTTTCATAAAGATTTTTTGCTTTAAAATATTTATCCCATTCTAATAATAAATTAACATGGCAGACAGGACCTACCAAAAATATCCTCAAGATCTCTAGTTATTAATATATGAAGACCTCGGTATAGTGTTTCGTGGTTCCATAGATGGACCTGATGTGGCGCTGGAACAAAATTTCAAATTATGACATCTATGATCTAGAAATTCTGCTTCAGTGAATCTGCCCGCTAATTGCAGTTGACAAAAATGTCCAAGTCTGGTCCTGCAGTTCTCTATAGAGGAAAAGGCCTCAGCTTACCCGGAGTCTATCTTGCCTTTGAGGCACAGGCTCGCGTGGGAGTGCTCTGCCATCTTGGGGAGACCACTGGTTCCACTAGTAAAGTAAATGGCAGCTGCTTCTTGGCTTCCAGACTCCACACAGTGATGATGTGTGGAGGCCTCCCTGGCGGAAACACAGATGGTCACCTTCTCAGATCTAGCATGTTCATTAGATGTCACTGTGACTCAGTTTTCTCCACCAGCACTCAGGCTGACAAGGGCAAATCAGCAGATCCAAGTTCAGAGGAGATGTACTGACCTAATGTTTAGGCATGGCGTTATTTCTATAATTATTAATTTTAAAAAATTTTTAGTACACGTTTGAAGCATACAAAATCATGAAATTCTGAGTCAGCAAGATTTGGGCTTGGGAACCACTTAGGTTGGGTGCTTTGTTAACTATGTATAAAAGTAATCAAAATCTATGGTGAATGTTTAAATTTTTTAAAAAACTTATTACAGTAAAAGACAGATTACCACTGATCCCCTTCTAAATTCTGCCCCTTGCTTTAAGCACAGTCACCCCATCAGTCTTGCCACTGTCTGAAGCAGATCTGGAAGTCCACCTTCACCAGTGTCTTTACGAGATATGACTAAAAAAATATGGTGAATGGTGCAGCCAAGTGTCATACAATGAAAAAGCAAATGGTGCAGCCAAGTGTCATACAATGAAAAAGCAGGCTTGCAAAAATATCATGGTGTACCCTCATCCACCTTATTTACCAGACCTGCTACCTCATGGCTTCTGTCTCTTCCTCAAAGTCGAAATGACATCAAAGGTAAATGTTTTAAATCAATGCAGGGCATCAGGTTAGCAGTGACAGCACAGCTAAAGACATTCAAGAAGAAAACTTCCAGACCTGCTTTAGGAAGTGGCAAGAACAGCAGGGTGAGGATGTTTGAAGTGAGAGGAGTGTTTTGAAGTGGATTAATGGCCAAGTGTCTTCTACTGTAATAAGTTTAAAAAAGTAAACATACCCCATTTTTAATTACACCTCATTTTTACGATTTAACTTCTTTGAGTCTCACTTTCCTTATCTGTGAAATGGGATCAATAAGAAATTAAGACAATAAACAAATTAAGAAACTTAACTCTCTGAATGAAGAGTAGGAACTTAATAAATATGAATCTGCTTATTGAGCCCTAGGATGATATCTTGTTCACAGGAGATGGACAACTGGTATTTTGGGTACTCTCCCGACACTGTTTTCTCTGGAAGCACCCACCCATCTTCAGATATCGCTAGCATTCTGATTTTGAGTCTCTGAAGGCTAGCTGAAATTTTTTCTTTGACAATTATCTTGAAGATCAAGCATTAGAAAGGTAATCCCCACCCCCCAGTGCTGTAGACTGAACCCAGGGCTTTCACACTGAGCTGTAACTACAGTCCATTTCAAAAGTTTTGTTTGAGACAGGGTCTTGCTAAATCACTAAGGTTCCCAGGCTGGGTTTAAACTTGTAATACTCCTGCCTCAGTCTCCCAAAAGTCGAGATTAAATGTGTGCACCACCTTGCCCAGCTCATCCAGTCAGGCTTGCTGTATAAGCTTTTGGAAGGCCACTGTCCCTGGGAGCAGAGCTGCGGGGCGGGAGGAAGAAGGTGGCAAGAGCATAAGAACCCCATGTGCTCTTGTTCTCCTCCCGAGCTACAGACCTCGCCTCTGATCTGAGCCTTGTCACAGTGAAGAGCTCTGGGTGACTTTCAGTCTTGGGTGTTGTCAACTTCCTCTTTCTAGACACACCACAGTGGTTCTCAGGTCTTTGTGTCATCCCAGAGCTTGGGTCTTTGAGCCTTCTCTTCATGTGAGTGGGGGGCCAACAATGCCTCACTGGGGCAACTCCTAGCCTGTGGGGGTGACGGTGCTGTCAGCGCTTTATTAGGAACTCCTGGGAAGCCTTCAACACGTTCCTCAAAAGACCCCAGCAGACTAAGTCTCACAAAATCCTGAAGTGTCTCCATAATGAAGTGCTGCATGGCAGCTTTTTTCTCTCCCTTGCCCCAGGCTCTCTAGCTCCACACTCTGCTTTGTGGGCAGCCCCCAGCCCAGTAAGGCGCCTGCACCAGATTGCTTGATTTGGTTTCCATCTGTGGGTGAAAACTTAGCCAAGACACATACTCACTTCAGTAATGTTTTAAAGTCCAGCCACCCGTCCCGGCTTCTCTCAGACACAAGTAACTTGATTCTCAGGTCAGGACAGTTGGCTGCCACAGCGTCCACTTCATGGGCCACATCATCTCCAGCTACAATGGCCCTGGCCTTAGACATCCGCAGCCTGTAGAGTATGTCTTTGGATTTCAGCTGGATGGTCCCAGGCATGAAGACGAGGCCTGCAGAAGCCAAATGGTTTTGAATGAACTGGGAAGGAGGCTGGCCTTTTTCCATAGGAAGTGGCCACCCTTCCCTCAGTTTCCTTCACAAAAGGGGGTGCCCCGCTTTTTAGTCAATCACCAACCTGCTCGCATGCAGCCCAGAGTCACCAGCCACCACTCAGGGATTCGGGGCAGCACTACCGCCACATGGTCCCCGTGCTGCAGCTGACAGGGCCCTGAGAGGACATTGGCTGCCCGCTGACTCATCTCACTGAGTTCTCTGAAGTTCCACTTCACTTCGTGCCCTTCATCATTCACCCACCACAGAGCTGGGCCAGGAGGTCTCTTGCCTGCCTGTGGGAGGTGAGGCCTGCTGGTTAGTGCACGTGGACACAGCAAGGAGGATGGGTTTCTAGTGCTCCCAATTTACAAGTCTTTTGGTCTCAGGACTCCCACGTCCTCTGTGAGCTGGGTGTGGTGCTGTGTGCCCGTAATCCCAGCTACTCAGGAGGATTCAGCAGGAGAATCACAAGATGGAGCCTAACCTGGGCAATTAAAAAAAAACTTGTCTCAAAATAAAAAATAAAAAGAGTTGTGATGTAGCTCAGTGTAAGGTTTAATCCTCTCCTTTATTTGCTACCGGCAGGCGTACAGTGCAGTGTTACTAAGTCTGTTCACCTTGGGCAACCATTACCACCATCCACCTTGAGAACTTTCTCATCTAAAACTGAAGCTTTGTCCTTATCAACAACAACTCTTCATCCTCTCACTCCTCAACGTTTTCATTTGCATTTGCATTCCTCTTACTATGGTTGGGTTGAGCAGCTTTCTTTATTCTTAGTGACCATTGGTGTTCATTTTGCTGTGAACTGTGTGTGCATGTTTCTTGCCCACATTTATGTTGTGTTAAGCATTTTTATTCTTGGCTTCTAGGAGAATTTTTTTTTTTGTCTTTATGAGACAGGGTCATGCTATGCAGTTCAAACTGACCTTGAGCTCACTTTGTAGTTCAGGCTGCCCTCGAACTTGCAACAATCCTCCAGCTTCAGCCTCCTGAATGCTGGGATTACAGGTGTGAGCCACCACACCCAGCAATGAAAAGCTTTTTAAATGTTCATACAGCAAACTCATTATTGTTGCTTCTTTTATGGGTTCAGAATTGTGAGTCATAACAGTAAGGGCCTTCTCAGACTCCCAGCAAAGTATAACTTTTAAATAAAATCCAGAAATCTAAACTTTAATTTGAAATATTTCCATAACAGAATGTTTATCTAATTTCTTGTGTGTGTGTCCATGCATGGTAGTGGGGATTGACTCCAGGAAGCCCACTGCTATACTTCTAGCCTTTTTTATTGTTTGTTTAGAGACAGTGTCTTGCTAAGTTGCCCAATGTGGCTGTAAATTTGTGATTTTCTTGTCTCTGTCTCTTGAGTAGTTGGAGTTCCAGGTATTCAGCAAGGGCTCAACTACTTTTTTTATTTTTAAATGCTTCTGGGTCCCACTTTCAGCCTACTGGCTGGGGGTTTGGAATCCCTATATTAATGTTGTGTTCTAATGAACCCTTGCATCCTCCAGAAATGCACCTGGCACTTCAGGTGAAGGCAGTGATGCATCACAGCAAGTGGGCTAGGCTCTGAGAAGCCTGGGGATGGGAAAGAAACTCAAAATTTCTGCATCCCTCTCTTCCTGTGATGCCTTTTGTTGGAGCCCCGTGGACATCTCAGCCTCAGGGACATCTTACCTGCAAATTAATGGTAAGGATGCATGACCTGGCTTTCTTTGGTCAGTGCTGAGTTGGTCTTATTAAATTCAAATCTATCTCTGCTATGATCCCGTCTCATTAGTTCTAGTTTTACTTGGGAGGTCACAACAGAGGGTGTACAGTGAGCCACTTGCATAGAGGTCACCAAACGGTCCCACCCTATGCCAGAGTCCTGTGTCTTCCTTGTTCCATAAGGCCCTTGTTGCCTTATGGAAGGTGACACTTGAAAGGTTCTTGCCCTAGTATAAATTACTATACATTTATAGTGGTGGTCTAATGTGGCGGAAGGCCAAAGTGGGAATTCTTACCACTTCCTGCTTCTTTTTTAGCCCTAATTGCAACTCCCCTTTTCATTTTCACACAAAGAAAATTCCAATCAATTCATCATCAATGTCTGCCCCACGTGCCACTTCCGATCAGAGGTCATATAACCCTCTGCCTCTCTGTATCCGGTCAAAGGAGACAGCCCAGCTGCCATGGGTTGTGTGCTCCTTTCCACGTCCTCAACTCACTAAAAACCCGTTCATTTTGTACTTTTTGCTTATCTATTGCACCAGAACACACTAACGATCCTCTTGTTCATAGGTCATTACAATGTCTAATGTGTAACATCAACTACTCAATAAATATTAAACAAGTGGATGAATTAATGAAGCCAACCCAACTCTTTAGTCCTGCCTGTGCTCCCTCTCTACCATGTTACCTTCTCCATGCCAGCCCACTGATCCACTACATCACTGGCAAAGTTGAACTTAGCAGGTACTTTCTGGCGGCCCCATGGTACTGATGTCAGCTTCTTGACACTAATGTGGAGTGGGCAGCTGGGCACCTCAGTGCCCCTCAAGGTGCAAAGTTGCTCAAATTTCCGCAGCCAACGCATGGTCAGATCTGTGAAGGACAGAGGAGTCACAGGAAGGTCTTTTCTTAGTAGATTGTTGTACTCATCATCAGCTGCTTGGGGAGATTCAAATGACCTAACTTATGAGAGAATTCATGCTCTACATTTGTCTCTGTCTCCTTCTGGTATACCACTCTCCAAAAGCACCTCAGCAGCATGTCTGTATTGTAAGCATCCAATTCCATGTATAATAGATCCTGTAGTGCTTAAAATACAATGAATGGTAGATTATACTGCCCTTCTCAACAACTGGCTCCTTCTCATAGCAGCAGGACAATATGTTCCCATTCATTTCCATATCACTATCTAATGAAGTATGGAGCATGAGGCTTATCATTTACTCTGGCTTTCCTATGAGAAATGCTCTGGTCAGTGAGTTGAGAGTGGGTTTGTCAGACTCTCGCGCTCCTGGCCCTTATGAGAAATGCATACCCCAGATAAATACTACACCATCAGCCTGAGCCCCACACTAACGAAACATGTGGAACTGAACTGAGCCTAACACGTCTGCTGCCAACTTCACACCCTCAGAGTGAAAAATATGTGTGATTAGAAGCTAGCCGACACATTCGAGATATTTGTTAATATATCAACTGCTGACTAATACAAGTGGCACCTTTCTTTAAATTAAATCTTTAACCACAGATTTAAAATCCTGTGATTTCATACAGAACTTAATGCAAAAGATCACTTTAGAAATCTCAGATGTTGCAATTACTGTTTCCATGGGCACTGGTTCCAGAGAAAGCAATTTCAAGGCTGTGCAGGCTGGTTTGGATTCTGCCAGTGCAAGCTGATGAGGTTGCAGAATTTAAGTCTAATGACCTCTGATTCAAAGAACCCAGTTGGCAGTCCTGCCCATTGGCTGGAGTCCCATCCCACTTTGTCCAGGCAGCAGATACCAGAATACTGAAAGTCTCTGGTGCTTACTAAGCCTCCTATTTTCTAAAAAAATAAAAAATAAAAAAAACAGGAGGCTAAGATTTCCTTACCAGGTCCTGAGAAGGAGGAACTATTGCTGACTTTTTCCAGGATTGGCTCTTTGTCATCCTCTCCTTTCCTGATCACCATCCAACTCTCACCTGCCTCCGCCCACTTTTCCCTAAGGTCCCCAGTCCCTCCTTTAGTCGTGCTAAAGGATCTTTTTCCTCTGCCTCCTCACTTAAAGATTCTCCCTTCTGCAGCTTCTAGAAGCTGTGGACTCTTTCCTCTGGGGATTTTTACTCTCCTTGTGGTCTGTGAGGCCTGAAGATCAAAGGGTACCCACTTGAGCCCTGACCCCACCCTTTAGTTCCTTCCAACAGCACTCACAAGGCTCTCTGGGAATAGCTGGCTCTGTTCTCCTTTTGAAGAAGCAGCTTCAGGTTTCCTGCAGCTGGGACATCAGAACAGTGATCATGCAACCAACTCTTGAGTAAGATTCCTGAAGTTTTGGTGGACACCACAGCTAATCATTAATGATGAAGGCTTGATTTAGGTAACATTAGTCCCTCTGGCTAAGTTTATGGGAAGCAAGGACCTAGAACCTTGGAGGTTGATTGAATGTGCTCTTTCACCCAAGGGGTCAAAATATTTATGGCCAGATTTGATTGGAAGTAATTGTCTCAACCAGGGCGAGAAAAATGAAGTTCAAATGGCCTCATGAGTTCTCTCTCTCCTCTTTAATCCTTGCCTTGCCTTCCAGTATTGCATAAGTACTTGGTTTTCCATTTACTTCAGTCTTTTTTGCTGACTCCCCCTCATCTCCTGTATCTACATTCAACTGTCCAGGATTTCATCCAGTGTTATGACTGGATTCCAGCTGCTTTGCCAGTGACCCCCACATGTCATTGAGTCTGTGTTCTGCACCCCAGTCTTCATTTCTCCACTTGGACATTCTGATGGACCTTTCAGACATATTTTGTTCAAAGCTGAGTGCCTGATAGCATCCCTTTCTATACATCATCCCGCTTTTTCTACAACCTCATATACGGCAGCTCCACATTTCCAGGTCTTCCTATGAGAAACCTGTTAGTTTCGCCTGTGTCTTTTATGCTGGATCTAGCAAATCTGTCAGCACCATCTTCACACTGTATCTGGAGTCTGTCTTATTGTCTTCACTAGTCCAAATTACCATTTCCTCAGGTTTCTTTTTTGGTCTCATTTTATTTCATTTTAGTTTTGAGACAGGGTCTTATTATGCAGTTCAGGGTGGCCTTGAGCTCACTTTGTAGCCCAGGCTGGTCTTGAATTCTCAATAATCCTCCTGCCTCAGCCTCCTGGGTGCTAGGATTATAGGCATGCACCATCATCCTTGGCTACCCTCTGGTTTCTTGCATGGCACTTCTCCAAATATCTAAAGTTCACTCTCATATCTACCTACCTTCACTGACCAGGAAAGTTTGGTGAGGTGGAAAGTACAGGACATTTGGATCATCTTTTCTAATTTGACTTATCTCTTACTATTGGGTGATCCCATTAAGCCTCAGTTTCTTTTTCTGTAAAGTAAAACTCAAAGTGGGCTCTCTCAGAAGGAAATGTGAAGATGTGGTATGATACTTATATGTCACTTATCACCTTCAGAACATCTAGGAAGAGTATAAAGCTTTGCTGGAATTGATCACAAAGCCAAAACACAAAAGGATTTTCAGATTGAGTGCTAGAATAACTTGCTTGTGGTCTCACAAGAAGTCAGTCTCAGGCAAGGTGTAGGACTTTTATCCCAGAGGAATGTCCTACACCTGTGTTGCTGGCTCAGCATGGATTCTCAAGTGAGAGCTGGAAATCAGAAGGCTCTGAGCTGCTGGGATGTGATAGTGTCCACCAAACAGATAAGTATTTTTGCAGGATCTGGATCTGTGGGCATCACAAGCCATGTGGGATTCTGTATCTTTCCAGAAGAATGAAGGGATCTCAGTGCTAGAGAGCTTCCATGCAGGCAGTGATGGGACTTCTTAAATTGCAGTGTCCATGGGAGACACAAACCTTGGACACAGAGACCACAGAGCAGGGCAAGATAGGATGACAATTTGTTGACAACATAGACAAAGATTCACATCAAGGGACAGCTTGGAGAGCCAGAGGTCTTGAAGACACTGGAAATCAGTGTCTAAGTGAGTCAGGAGAAAGAGGAGAAGAGATCCACTTGCACAATACACAATAGGCACTTGGGCACCTTCTCACTTTTCTCCAGGCCAAGTGTAAGAACCAATGATCTGGCAAATTTTTATTCTGTAGGGTAGCAGCTGCAACCTGGTAAGAGTTTCTCATTCACTATGGGAAATGTGCAGAATTCCACCTGTTGGTCTTTAGTCTCTAAAGACTTGGTTGTCCCTTCTCTACCCTTGTAGCAGGTGTTTCTGAGTCTCCAAGAGTTCTCAAAATCCTTCCAGGAAGTTCTTCTCCTGTCTCCCTTAAATCCCTCTTGCTGCTCTTCCTCGGTGCCCCTCACTACCTGAATCCAAGGGGGCTTCAGAACACTCAGAATCTGAGGCCAGAGAACTAACCTCTATCCCTCTTTTCTATTCACCATTTTGATTCTGGACAGCCCACCACAGAGAATGGAGCAAGAACCCTAAATCTAGAGTGGAAATCTAAATCAAGCCAAAGAAAGAACCTGAATTGTTGTCATCTGCTAAACCTCCATACAGAGACTTTAAGAAATATAGTTGTAGCTGGGTATGGTGGCTTTTTGCAAGTGGGAAGTACAGAGAGAGAATGGCTTGTCAATTGGGGATTGGTTTATTCAGTGTAAGTTACAGTGACCAGCTATGCATCACAGGTGACCAGCTGTTTCTAACAGACCAGAAGCAACTGGAACTGGAACAGGAGCCATTACATGGGCACCTAAGAAACTGAAGTATACTGGTTGGGAGGGGACATTTTTTGCTACACCAGCTACCAGGGAGACTGGGGAAGAAGGATCTCAAAAATGAGACCATCCTGGGCAACTAAACCTTTTTAAATAATCAAGCTGCATCTTCACCATGAAAACGGAAATTTGTGTTCTCTGAAGGAATTTGGGAATAAAGACTTATCTCCTTAGCATTTAGGGGTCTGTTGAGAGTCACAGGCTCTCCTTGCTCTACTAGGAGTCCAGAAATGACCCACTATTCCTGCTGCCCTGTCTCCTTTTAAGACATACCCACCCACCATGGGTGCCATGGTTGATCACTTTGCCAAATTTACAAACCTTTCCTAGATGGGGAGAAGGTACAGATTTCACCCCAACATTTCTGCTCACTTCTATGGTCCTTTATTCCTCTCTCCTAAGTCTCAATTTGTGCTTTCTTCTGCATCAAGTAGGTATTATCTCTCACCTCTTTCCTTGAGAGACTGGCTGGCTTTTGGACTATGGAGATAGCAGCCTTTTTTCCTATAACTGGACAGTAGAGCCTGATGAGTAGGCAGTTAAGACCTGAAATCAGATCATCTAGGTTTATTTATTTATTTATTTATTTATTTATTTATTTATTTTAAAGAGAATAACATCAAACAAAACAAAACAGAATAAAGCCAATAAAAAAAAACCCCATGAAAGTGATACAAGACTATGAAACAGGATGCTAGGAAATCAACAGTGGCTACCATAATTGAATAAAACAAAGCAATAAAACAGAATAAAACAAAGGAGTGAGAACAATATTGAATTTCAAAAACCAGGCAGCAAGTAATCCCCCATATTTACTATATTGTATACTGTTATCCTCTTATTAGATGCTCAGACTACCAGCCTTAGGCCTGCAAGTCAACCAAACAATACAAGAATTAAGTTGTTTTTGCAGTTCAGCTACTATCACTTCAACCTGTCCTCCAAATGAGGGGGTTACTTATGGGGGACAGTGGTTTCTTGTCTCCCACTCCACATACAGGTTGGCTCACAAGAAGGGAAAATTGGCTTCTTGTTCCTCCTCCCAGGCCCAGCATGGTTCCATCAACTCACAGGGAGAGCGAATTAGCTTGTTGCTTTTCCTAGCCCCACATGGCTTTCCCTGGCCCACGGGAAGGGCAAAGTGGCTTCTTATTACTTCTCCCAGCTCAGTATAGCTTTTGATGACTCACAGGAAAGGTGAGTTGGCTTGTTTCTCCTCCTCGGCCCCACAGACCATCTAGGTTTGAGTTTGGGTTCTCTGCCAATGAGCTGTGCCCCTAAAGAAGTTATGTTATCCCACTCTGGGCCCCAGCTTTCTAAACTAGAAAATGGGGGAAATCCTAGGACCTCTTAGACTTGTGAGCCTTGAATTTGACAATGTGTATCTGGCATACAGCCACCAGTATATTTAGAAAGCTCTAGTCTGGTGCCCTAGAAACTGCTAAACTCAGTTGTTTACTAAAAGGTTAAGTTTAAGTGTTTGTTTAAAAAAAATTGATTCTTCAAATTGAAGTTAATTATTTACTCATTTAAAAAGTGAACCAGTGACGATATTAGAACAACAAATATATTGCATAGTGTAAGTACTCAATAAATTGAAGTAAATGCAAGTTAGAATGGGAGATTTTCAAGATGCATCTGAGCACCACACACACACACACACACACACACACACACACACACACACACACACACAGAGGACCTGGGGACTATGAACCCCTTTGTGGACTTTATGAATGCAACAGATTTGGGACAAGCAAAGTCGCACAAATGGAGGGAATCTCAGGGAAAAGTCTTTCATTCTCCCAGAAACGGAGGCAAGAAGACCCACAGACTTATTTGTTGAGAGTTTCTAGAGCCAACTTCCGGAAGACAAGCTATGGAACACTGGCTGTGTCTGCCAACTGGTCAGAGAATATTTACTCAGGGATGGTATCAAGTAGACACAGAGGTGACCAAGACAGGTCTTTTTTGGTTGGGAGGTAAAGTAAACAATAGCAAGTAAAATGATTTTGTTCATTTAGATACTGTTAAGGATAAGTCAGAACAGATCACAATGCATAGCTGTTCAGGATCTGCCAATTAATCTTGGATTTACACCAAATAAACATCAATGTTTTGACCTCAACTTGCCAAGCCCTCTCTTTCTTTTTGGCTCAGTATCCTTTTTCACTCACATCTGCTATTTTTAAGTTATGTTTCTTTTGGTTGGCTTGCAGCCATTGAACTGTTACTTCCTGGTTCTTGTTATTTTTAAGATATTTCCTTTCGTGATTGCAAGCTACCTGTCTTCAAGGTTTGAAAGTCTAACTTTAGTTTCTTTCAAGCAGTTTTGCCAGCTTTCGATGGAATTTTTAATTTCCTGGATATCTCTTTGAATCTGTTTCATGTATTCTAAATCTTTTTTATATTGTTCATTCAAGATTTCCCTTATTTTCCTAAGCTCCTCTATTCTTCCATCTATGTCTTCTTTAGAGGTGCTTAGTAATTCTTTTATTATGTTTTTCATTTCTTCTTTTACCTGAGATAGTATTTCTGCTCTAATTTCTTGTATAGCCTCATGAAGTTGTTTCTTTATTTCATGCAGCGTGAAGGGAATAGATGGAGCTGGTTCCCTCTCCTCTGACTTGAGTGATTGAGATGGGAT